TAAAACTCTTCACACATTTACCTTTGGGGGAGTGAATCTGGCTCTCTTGAAGTAGCAATACTGATGGTGGGCTTTGTTTCCTGGCTCAGACTCTGGTCAGGGGGGAAAACAGGGACAGTCTGAAGCTCTTCTCTCAGAGGGCTGGAGCTGCAGTCGAGCAGGGTCCTGGGACTGGGGGGAACAGTAGCACTGGAGGACGGTAGCACCTGGCAACACAAGTCCCTGAAGGTCATTCACAGAACTAGATTGTTTAGATTCTCCATCCCATTCTTTATATTTAAGCTTAGATGACAAATCTATTAATTGCAGGCAGATTATATAAAGGCACCAGATACATCAGAGAGCAGGGCTACAAACTGGGTAATGTCAACACCTTTAGGACTTGTCAAGCAGAAATACTTCAAATGTTAAGGACACAAAATATACATATGCTATGAAAAATGAAAGCAATATAGAGAAATGGTTAAAGATTTTGGCAGCTGTTCCAGTCAAACCATGAACACTGTGTGCTGAACCTACTTGTCCATCTTGGCATAGTGTCTCTTGCATTGGCTCCTCCACCTCTGTACAGCTACTGTTCAGAGGTTTCACAGCAGCCACAGCAGATCGCTCTGTTCCTCTCCTCTTCTGGCCTGGTTTCACCTGCACTGCAGGCTTCATGACAGATGGCTTCACATTCAGTTTGGGCCTCACTAAAAAAGAAAGGAAGTTTTAAGGATAATGGATGAAACAAGTGGGTGCATCATCTATTCTGAACTTGACACTCACTTGATACTTTTGAAAGAAATCCTGTTTGAACACCAGTTCTATCATGCTTCATGAAATCCCCAACCCCCTTCAAATCAAAAACTGGGTTTTCATCATTTACATAACATTTGGTGTTAGGTGTCTGTAGAATACCAACAATGAATTGGTCACTCAAGTGCCTATAAGTGCAGAGATGGTAGTAAGTGGTTTGAGCCTTTAGTATTTCCTGCTTTAGTGAGTTTTTAAATTCAAATTTAAACTGTTGTACTATGTCATATGTTAAAAGTTATATGTTGTTACTATGTTGTATGTTAAATGTTATGTTAAATGTTATATGTCACTAGGTTATATGTTAAATGTTATGTTAAATGTTATTTACTAGGTTAATGTTAAATGTTATGTTAAATGTGTTATGTTAAATGTGTTATGTTAAATGTGTTATGTTAAATGTTATATGTTACTATGTTATATGTCATATGTTATTATATATATTTTCTTTTTATTTTTTATTTTGTATTTTTATTCCCGTCTACTGCGTAGATGTTGCCTGCCATGTCACAAGAATTTCACTGCTCTGATGACGCTAAGTTATTTGGTGCATGTGACAATAAACTTTGATTTGATTTGATTTGATTTCCCTCGCACCCGAATAGAAATGTGGGTTACAACAGAGGTGAGCTACCTTTGGCATCTCTAGTGTGTTCTGGAGATTTCTTCTGATTATTGCTCAGTGTTTCATCAACCGCTGGGAACTCTGCAGGTTCACGATGAGCTGCTTTGGACTGCTTGGCTGGTGACGGTGCAGTGGAGTTTCTTGAGTTTTTGTCTGAGACCTCCCTGTAGTTTCTGGGAATCTGTGACTTGGACTCACTTGGTGAAGAGCTCAGCTTAACAGGGACTGAGGTCACAGCTGCAACTCTTGTACCAGAAGTAGTGCTGTTGAGAGGTGATGCAGCCTTGGATTTGAGGGGGATCAAATTACTTGCTTTAGCTGAGGTTTTGTCCTGCTCCTCCATTTCCTGCCTGCGAAGGCGTTTCTCGCGCATGATCTCCTCGAAGGTCTTGACCTTAACATTGGTCTAGAAAGACACAGAAAGATTACTATCTTCAGCAGTGAACAAAAGAGCAAGCAACAAAAGCCAATTCTGCAGTGTCTTCCAGACTGTACCTCAGGAGCAGCAGTTTGAGCTGTAACCTCAGCTCTCTTCTGTGTTGTGATACTGCCTGCTGAGATCATCAGAAAGATCATATTCAAATACACTGTATGCAAGATGAAGATCAGCAAATTCAAAATGTAATTTAATCTGAAAGACAGTCCTTGAGCCAAGATACAGAGAAGTATATAATTTGTCAAGCTGTCTTACTTTGGGAAGTCGTTTCGTTGATGTTCAGTAGGCAAGGTATCTTGTCGCCATTGTCCTCAGTATCAGGGCTCCTCTTGTTTTCAGCCTGTTGAGCCTGTATCCTTGCTGCCTTCTCCCTACGGATCTCCTCCAGGGTCTTTACTCGAACTTCCTCTATGTTTGCAGCCTCAGGACAGGGCCCAGCTGCGTTTGTCTGTGCTTGGCTGTTGCCTGTGTTCTTTGCCTTCTTTGGGCTGGTGTTCTGCTCCTCCTGCCTTGTCCTCTTGGCTCGGGGTATCTCTGAGACTATTTTGACATCTTTAACAGCGATGGCTCGCTTAACACCCTTATTGGTTTTGGTGCTCTCTGGACCCACAATAGAAGGACCATCGTTCTGGCTCTTAGACTGAGACTTCGCTGCCTTCTCCTGTTTGATCTCCTCCAGAGTTTTGATGCGAATCTGCTCAGGAGCTTTCTTAGATTCTGTGTTGGTCTCAGCTGTTGGGAAAATCAGGGCACAAGATACAATAATTTACTCAATGTACATGATTATTTCCAAACAAAATAATGGACAACATCCAATCAACATTACATTTTCTTCTGATTTCTTACCTGGGTCAGTGAGTGCAACAAGAGCAGTACTTGATCCAAGTCTTTCCTTAATAGGTTTAAAAACTGAAGAAAAGGAAAAAAGAAAGTAGTTTATAAGACATTCATTCAGGGCCCATCAAAGCACAACCTGTTTATATACACATTTTACAGATACAACTCTTCCCTCCTTCTAACAAATATGATTCAAATAAAATGCTGCAGATGATGCAGAATAAGAACCTCTTCTTCTGATATTTCCTGATACTTGCCTTTCTGTGGGGACATTAATGTCTCTTCCTCATCCACAACTCTGCCCAGACGGTCATTCAGACTCCTTTTCAGCTGGACACCGCCTCCACTTTTTTCATCTACAGCAGGGAGAACTAATGAGATTCTGTATTCTTACCATTAATATGTTTTGCAGTAGCACCGCAATTCTATTGGTAAGCTCAAAATATTGCGATGAGTTGTAACAAGAGTGCACATTTACTGATAATTGGCATCTTCCTTCCGAGCCTTTCAGCCACAGTCCCTCTTGATCTCCCAGTTTCTTCAAAGACAAGTGGGCCTGAGTTAAGAAGAACCAAATACTGGTTGAGATCAGGAAGATAATGGCTTGACTTCTCATTTAGGAATCAAGGTATTGGTCATATGCTTTCAGTTCATTTGAATTCTTTATCAGTTTAATATGATCCTTTATTTTGTGTTAAGTGTTAAGATACTGGCATTAAATTAGGATGTTGAATGTAATAGCTAGCAGCATTAATTTTGGGCATATTCCTCAATTAATACCATTTCTCACAATCTAAATGAGGAATATCAGTAGACCAACAGATATAATACTAGGAAACCTTCTGAAACAACTAAGTTATCCTCCATTCATAAATGCAGTTCTGAAAGATGATGATTATCATTATGGGTATTTTTTATATAAAATTAGAAAATAAAGCAGAATCTGGGAGGAGTGAGAGAGAATTGTGAATCAGTCCCTCGGAAGAACTGCTTTTTACCATCTCTGGCCTCATAGAGGGCTGGACGACATAATGACTGGATGTTTTCTTTCTCTCCGTTGGCCAAGGTATCAGAACTCTGGATGGGGTAACCTGCTCTCTTCATGCTGGTCTTCAGTGCCTTCCTGAGTCTGATCTCCTCCAGGGTGCTGACTCCAAAATTCAGTGAGTCATCTGCCAAGTTACAATATCTTATCAGAAAACACCTAGAATTTGATATTACAGAATTGGCAGCACATTTTGTATTCAAAGTTTTATGAGTGTGGCTCAGTCTCACCTAGTTTGGGTAGCTTTCGATGAGAAGAGCCGCCCCTGCCATCATCTCCCTCCTCTGAGAAAAGGTCTGGAAATATTAAGATGCATGTGCTTAAGACTATAGGGAATTATGTGTCTCAATTTGAGGCACGTATGTTTAAAAAAAATTCTAAGAAAAGAGAGAAAGAAGCAAGAGGCAAGGAAGTTATACTGAGATCAAATCCAGCTCACCATCTTCATCCTCATCATCATCTGCTGGATTAATCACCACTGGTGGGTGAGTGGGGCTTGGAACAGGCTCCTGACTTTCGGTCTTAATGACCCCTCTGAGCTGGGGGTTAGCTGCAGTTGCCAGAGGGGCAGTTGGTGGGAGAGCTGTTTCCTCAAGTGGCTGCTCCTCATTCTTGCAAAGACCTGGGAGAATTACAAGGATTATCACTAGAGCCTTTCACAGGTGGATGTAAAATGGTTTAAAACTTTGATGTCCACTCACCTTTATCAGGTGGGACAAACATGCCCTCTATGTAGCGGGGCCTTTCATGGAGGAAGGCACAGTGTGATTTCTGGCAGCCAGCAGGCTGTTTCTCCCAATAACAAGGTATCTCCTTTCGGTTTTTCTGTTTTGATGCACATGATATATATAACAGCATGGATGGAAATGGGCTGATCATATCTCTATCATATTTATGTCCACTAAAATGCCTTAATGCATGCAACAGCACACTTGAATAAAATTGAAGGATAGACAATGTTTGTATTTTCAGGACCTGATCTGAAGGATCTGAATTTCAATTTTCAAATTTGACTGGAAACTGCATCATTTACATCATGTTTTAAGCACAAAAGTAAGGAAGTAACAATGCTAGCGGATGTAGCAATGCTAATGCACATCCCACACTTTCATTCATTATTGTTAAAATTTTACTTACTGTGATTTCCATGTGTCGAAACTTGCAAATGGTGCGAAAGCAGCGCCCTTCCTGCCAAAGATTGCAGACTGTTTCATTGCCCATGGCTGCCTCACAGTGTCTGAATGGGCAGCTGTCTCCCTGAAGCATAAATGAAAGGTGTAAAGATCCCACTCCTTCAGTCCACCAGTCGCATTCTAACTGGTTACATTATGCATGTACAAAATGTGGGATCTTTGCGCTCAAACTTTGCTTACTTTAGTGCAGGTGGAATAGTAAAAGAAGTAGCAGTCATCTCCATGGTTGGTCATATCAACACTGGTATTCGTCTCCAACTTAGACCTTTACTTTAAACGCGGTGGATGGTTCTCTTCAGGACTGACAGTCTCCCTGACAACCAAGAGCACAGCAAGACATCAGAAAGAGACTTTCTCCGCCTGTCTCCCTAGGATTGAGTCTGCAGAAAGTCAGGAGAAATGGATGTGAAAAACACAGTGAGCAGATGACGCTTCTAACACGCAACAGAAGGAAAAACGAAAAAACAAACCCAAATATCTCCCGAGGAAAAAGCGGTGCCATATACATAGACAACACAGACAAAGATGTCTAGAGAGTTTGTGGCGATAAGAGCCGACATCCATGTGATCTCCACAGCGGAATTAATACGTCACTTCCTGCCTTTGCCTGCTACACCAATTCTCGCGTAAATAATTTGGGGGATTTGTTGCTGTTGTGCAGAGAATGTCCAGCTGGGTGGTGCATGCGTGAAAAGCAAACTGCGACCAAAAAAACGTGGAACAAGAAAAACAATATAGAACTGGGAAATTATGATGGGACTGCTGTTAAAATTCATTCAAGCACAGGTTTTATTTGTATAGCCCATATTCAAAAATCACATTTTGTGACATAGGGCTTAACAAGTCCATCCTCTGCCCTTAATCTTCAGCAAGATTAAGGAAAAGCTACTGTTCATTCTTATAAAAATTTAAAAACAATGTTTTCAGCATTTACATAATACAACAAAATTCACTTTTCAGGACATTTTAATTCAGATTCCTGGGAGGAGTTCTATCTTAAACTGATGATATTTCATACTAAAAAGCTGTTGAGAACAGTTTAGCATGTTGCAATGTTTACCTGAGGTGGCTGAGAAGTTTGCCTCCCTCTTGAGCACACTGCTGGTGGGCTGTCTTCGTGAGGATATGGAGTCCTGAAGGAACACTTGATCCATGAGATAAGAGGAAAAGGGGGTTGGATCGCCCAGAGACACTTGTCTTCCTACGATATCCCTCCTCTGAGACATCTTTATCTCCGCCAGACTGCTAACTATTACTGATGGTGGATGCAATAGAGTCCTTTGGTGATAATTGTAACATTGTTTTTAATAATTGGTGTAACTAATTAAAGAAATAAATGGGGGAACATGGCCACAAAAGAAAAAACTTGATCCAATCGGCTTTAACTGGTGTGGCAAAAAGGGGACAAATGTGGGTAGGTGGAAAAAAATCCTCAGCTTCATCTTGGATTTGGTGGCATTTGGTGATGGCAGCAGGCAAAAATGGGCAAGATACTCAAGCTTCTAGACATTATTGTAGGTTATCAGTGCTGAAGAAAAAAAAATCTTCTGCCAATGAATTCTGAAGGGGGAGTCAAGCTATCCATATCCAGGGATCCCAACAAATGGGCGGAGAGGATGAATTTAAACCTACAAACCAATGAAAAACACTCCCCAGGGAACTGAAAATGGGTTATTAAGAGACAGACATTTGTGCACAAGAACAAATGAATTCGACATTTCCACAAAGAGAAACACAACATCACGACGACACAAATATTCTTTGAGTAAAAGACTGTCGGGCAAACTAGGATTCAGCTGTAAAAGGGAACCATGTCGTTGAACCGACTCGCTAAAATATCAACCCATGATTGTGTGTTGATTGATTTCATGTATGTCATCCAGAATTAAGAACAATTACATTTACAGTAAGTCCACAGCAGTTAGGTTGGGTATTTACTCGAGACATAGAGGGCCTTGTTCGACACTGACGACCAGCTTGAACAACAAGTCTGCCTTCCATCTTTAGTAATAGATAGAATGCACTCTGAGGGAAATAAGAGTCAAACTAACAGCTAACAAAGCTGCTACCTGGACTCAGATCACTTATGATCTGATATTAACGCAAGTTTGGCGGTAAAATATCTGAGGCGGCTGACCAGAATCGACGTTTAGTGGGAAAGCGAGGGCCAGGGCACCTTCCGTCTCGGTCCAAGATATAGACGTATAGTGAATAACTGAAAACCAAGACAGTCAAGACATCAATCACATACTTACTGTGGAACAATAGTAAGCAGCCCAAAGCTAGCTGAGGTGATCTACAAGCGGTTCCCAGCAGCGAAGGACATGAACTATCCGGTAAACGATAGAAATTGTGTTAACTAGATAACGTGTAACGATAAAACGACTTTCTACGTTCAAGAGTGTATGTTCGTGAGGTTTAAAGTTATTTACGCTGAGCAGCGGCCTACCTAAACTACCAGTGTCTCGCGACCATATCGTTAGCAAAATGTTAAGAGAGTTTTTATTTGACAATTACCCTCGTACTCGCGTTTGACATTTAAACACTACCATGTACCAGAAATGTATTGTGTCAACATGTGGTGTTAATTACCGGTTTCCGATTTAAAAAAGATAATAAAAGCTGTGTAATGTAGGAGAAAAGCCGTCCCTCTTCGTTTTCTGTAGCAGCCGGACACGGACTAAACAAAATGGCGACTGCAGGATACAAGTGGACGAACACGGCCCACTCAGTGTGCTGCGTTCAGGTCGAGTGAAAATATTGTTAGTTCCACGCTGTGGCTCTACAATTCTGCATATACAATAATAAATCACTCAGTGTGCATACAT